GTCTTACACTGCTAAATTAGGGACGGCTAGCGCAGATAGCCCTCGTGTAACTTTGCGTGAAATTCAAAAACAAAACAAACAATTAATGAATATGATTAAGCATTTTGTGTGTGTGTGGGTAAACGAGACAAAAAAAGATGTTATATTTAGTGCGGAATTAAAGTATTTAAGTAGAAAAAAAAAGAGATGATTATTGTAACGTACATAAACCATGTGTACATTTTTGGTGTTCTAATTTTGTTAGTTAATATACACAGCAAAGGTTTCTTACCCCTTTCAGTTTATCTTTAGCGTCAATTTGTTATTTAAAACCATGACTTTTTAGGCAGTTATAAGAGAACTGATTCCGACTGTTTATTTTCAAATGCTAAGGCCGATAACGGGTAACTGTATTATCTATAGGATTTGAGTCGGTTTTACTTCACCATATAGTAAACTAAGGTAATTTAATTTTGGAAATAATGACATAGGTAAGTTATCGGCTAGTATTTTCAGTATTGTTTTGAGGTATTTCTCGTCACAGTAATTATTTTTTCAAAATAGTAGTTTTCATTATGTTTTCAAATACTGTCTGTAGTTTTTATCTAGCTATCGTAATTTTTACATATTTAGTAATAAGACGATTAAATACAAATAAATGTAACTTTTTGCGTGGCATTTTATTTGTTTTTTTATTTTTAAAGAAATAGTAGTTAGTTTTTTTATGAATTCTTGTAATGTAACTGTTGCAAGCTTCAAGACATTGTTAACAGGTAGTAACTGAAGATAAAATCCTGTATTTTATGGACAATCTATTGAAAAAATTATAGTAATAAGGTGATATTTTGATTGACTAACATGTATTTTTATCAGGCCTAACTTGATGCATATATACTGAGTGATCGCAAGTAAATAGACACCTAATTTTTCTTCATTTAACTGATTTATGCTAACTAATATCTGTTCACAGAGCACTATATAAATTAAAATGGTCCGCACACAAATTTATCTTGTGCTACAACATGCCTAGAACTCAAGGTTCTCTCGAATTGTCAGATTTTGTTAGAGGAAGGATAGTTGGTCAAGCAGATGGTGGAATAAGTCAGCGGAAAATTTCGCAGAATTTGGGAATCCCGCTTTCGACAGTCAACAGAATCATCATGCAGTTCAGGAAACATGGCAAGGAAACAACTGAGCTGCGTCCGGGTCGTCCTGGTCCATCGGAGAGGACAAAGAGGGCTGTCAAGAGGAGCATCGAAATGGATCCCAGATTAACGACTACGGAAGTGGCCAAAGTTGGTGATTTGAGCCCGAAATCTGTTCAACGGATTCTCCACAGATTGGGTTATCGTTGCAGAGCAGCTAGACGGAAGCACTTATTTAGACCTGCCAACATGGTCAGACGAAAGAAGTAGGCAAGTGATATGATGACCAAGCCTCTGGACTTTTGTAAGACCGTATTGTTCTCAGACAAATCAAGACTCGGACAGTGGAGGGATATGGGTCTGGAGAATGTCTCACCAAGAGTTTTGGCTCAACAGATTGCAGCCAACTGTGAAGCATGGTGGTTTCAACGTGATGGATTGGGGAGTTGTTTTGGTTGGTGGGAGATCGAGCTTAGTGGAGTGCGTTGGCAACATAGATTTTGCAAAATACGTCGAATATTGGAGGAAGGTTTCTTGCCATTTTA